CAAAAAGGAAGACGAACTCAACTTTAAATTGGCTGATATTGACATTAAAACCACAGACGAGACTTGTCTCCTGGGGGTTGTTGTTGATAACAAATTAAAATTTGACGATCATATTTCTACTATTTGTCGCAAAGTTAGTGCTCAGATAAGTGCTCTGAACAGACTGAAGAATATTTTACCACCTAAAACTAAGGAATCGCTATACCGCGCATTTATACTACCATATTTTAACTATGTAAACCATTCAATCCAGGAAATGCTATTGACAATAAACAATTGTATATCGGACAAAGCTCCATCCGCAATGAGAGATCTTATCACCTTACGCTCATCCAAGTATAATCTTCGACATGACTATATCCTTTCTTTGCCGAAATTAGCTCGACTAAATATGGTCTCAATTCATGGGGATGTTTTGTCGCAAAGAAATGGAACGAGCTAACAAATGATATTAGAACTAAAGTAGGCACTAATGAAGTGAACACCAAAATTCGATCGCTTAAGTTTGACTGATGTCGGAATTTATTGTGATTTGATTCCTTAGATTTTTAGTTCTCTGCGTTTATAGGTCTTTATAGTTTTATACGATCAGTTATTTTACAATTTTAGTTTTAATTTTTAGAATATACTAGGGCCGTGGGTTACCTGTAAACTAGCTGATTAGCTAAGCGAAACTCCACGTTAAATAAAGTATCTTACTTTATCCTATCTTATCTTATCTCATCTCATCTCATCTCATCTCATCTCATCTCATCTTATCTTATCTTATCTTATCTTATCTCATCACGATCACAAACTGCCACATTGAATAATTAAACTTTTCAAGATGCACAAAACGTGACGTAACTACGTTAAGTATGAACTAACAGAACGACCTTGTGGAATCATTCATTTCAATAGTTTCACTTTGGTCACCTAGACAAAGGATCAATATGTCATAACATTTTTTTTTTCTTTTTAGAATTCCTTTGGAATGAAAGTTATGAGTTGTTTACTTTCCTATGGATTCCTCCTGCGGCGATTTAGTAAACATAAAAAAGCAGTAATTCTTACATTTACGGTCGAGATTATAAAAACTGAAACAAGGTAGAAACGAAGTTTAACGAAATATTCCTTTTCTTGCGTTTGAAAGACCGAAATATTGCTTACAGTGTGATAGGTATTCTTGATTAATTAACTCTTCGGTTTCCGTTTGAATTCCCTCGTCATAACAATTCGATAGCTTTCAGTGCGTGTAGCATTCCAACTACACACTTGACTATAGCCAGGCTTGCAGCTGATTATTTTTAAAGACATCCAAATGGAGAAAAATTAAACAGACAACTTTTAAGTTTGTCTTTCTATTGTTCAGGACCTTTAAAAGGGAGGTTTGGGNATGAACATCGCCAATTAAACTTACAAGCTGCTGTTGCCTTTTTCGAAAATTGAAGGT